TGGATACCTAGCACCGTTTGTTGATAAGGCTTCCTCTCCAATGTATGTTTTTGGTACCTCTGTCAAGAATCAGTCGGCTAGACAAACTGCCAGAAGCTGAGGAGTGAACATATTTCAATACTCAAGTACCTCTTGAATCGCCTGGTTTCCATTAAGGCAAAATAAGTTCTAATTCTCTGTGAACCTCAAAACAGGCCCTGTGACTGCAGTGAAAAGAATCCCAGGAGAACTCAGGAATAAAAATGGAGAAAGCAGCACTTTAGAATGAAATTTCCAGAAATACCCAGGTACTAAAGGAGGGGTGGGGTGGGGGGGAACAGGAACCAGGAAAGCTCTCAGGCTAGTTAAAATGTGAAGTGACCAGGAAATCTGGAGTTTCCTGCAAGAGTTGGCATTTTTTTTAAATTTTATTGATCTTTTTAGATATACATGTAGAGCATATTTTGACATATTTATACAAAAATGGAGCATAATTTATATAAGAATGAGAATTTCCTGAATGTGAAATGTACCTCAGAGTGAGGGATAAAAATCTTGTAGTGTCAAAAGCAACTGCTCAGTTTCTTAATCAGAGTGGTATAAAGAAGAGTTGGAAAAAATATTCCCTTACATTAATAAGTTTGTAGGATCTATCCCAGACTATCCATGAAGCCAACAAGACCAAAGAATGAACCACTGCCTTGTCCTTACGGAGAGGAGCTACACAGAACCTGGGATATAGATAAAAGGACAACAGGGCCTCTCAGGTCCTTTTTGTAAAGATGATGCTGACCTCCCACTTGCTGAGTACCATACACAGGACTGTGACATCCCCATTCCCTTTGAAGAGCTCCTGTGACCTTCATGGAGATCCTCAGGTACCTGGATGGGAGCCCTAGAACATGAACTCTCCAAGGGCAATCCCCATCCTGCTTCTTCCATTTCCACAGGAGCCCCCAATCCAAAACAGCTGTGGTTGACCTTTTCTGACTCTGATCCATATCCTCAATTAAAACAATTAGAATCTGGATCCTAATTCTGTCTGAAAAACAACAGAATAATACAGTTCTGTAACTGATAATTTCTTCCTTTCTCTACCAACAATGAGAATAAAATGTGAAATTAAATGATAAAATCAAGAATTAGTTAGCTGGTTCATTTCTGGGATCTCTATTCTGCACCTGTTATGGTTTGGATTTGGAATGTTCTCCAAAGGCTCATGTGTTTAAGGTTCGATCCCCAATGCATCGATGTTAAGAAGTGGGGCCTTTGTCTTTGGGAATGTGATTGGATCATGGGTTCTGACCTCATAAGTGGATTAATCCATTGATAGATTCATAATCTGATGGCAATATGAGGAGGTAGTACAAACTGCAGGAGATAATATCTAACTGGAAGAAGTCCATCACTGGGGGTGTGCCCTGGAAGGTTATTTTTTCCCCTTCTCTCTCTCTCCTGTTAGGGTCCGTAAACAAGTCAAGATAGTGCCTGGCACTTTGCCAGAGGGAGTGGTTTGTGATGTAACGCCAACGAGCCATTAGGATGATGAGGATTCCTTAATGACTGACTGCTGTATCTAATGATGTGTAATTAGTTGGGTATATATACTTCTCTGTCCTATAATAAAGCGGCTCCCGCTCTATTGACCTTCACAAGTTGCTTGTCACTACAGAAAGACTCTCAAAATTCAACATGAAGGGCTGGGTGGTAGAGTGTTTTGCATGCACAAGGCCCTGGGTTTGAACTCTAGCATTGAAAGGAGGGGGAAAAAACCCTCAACTTGAAAACAACTCAATTTTTTAAAAAATGGGCAAAAGATTTTGACAGGCAATTCACCACAGAAGACATATAGATGGTAAATTAGCACAGGAAAAATGCTCAGACACCAGGGAAATGCAAATTAAAACTACAATAAGATGACAGTATACACCTATGAGAATAGCCAAACAAAACTGACAGGTTCTGATGCACTGCTGGTGGGAATGCAAAATGTTACAATCACTCTAGAAAACAGCTTAGTCACTTTTATAAACTTCTTATAAAGTCTGTTATATAATACAGTCATTATGTCATTACTAAATGTCATTACTAAATATTTACCATAGAGAAATGAAAATGCACCTTCATACAAAAACCCACATGTGGATGTTTTCAGTGACTGATCTTATAATTGCATAAAAGTGGAAACAATTTACATATCCTTCAAAAGAACAGATATAAGGGAGACTCTTATAAAGGCAAGACTATGTACTAGGACAGAAGACTGGCTGCTAGAAGCTAAAGGTGAGGGTAGAAGTGAATTACAAAGAGGCAGCACAAGGAAATTTTTTGGAGTGATGAAAATGTTCATATACTCACTGTGCTGGCATTACATAAA